ATATTAGTATATCACTATTAACCAACTTCGCGTTGAATTTTCATCGATGTTAAGCCTAACAAATTTTTTTTTTAAATAATAATCGTCGCTATTGTATCGTTAAAAATTATTTTTAAATTATTTTATTGCTCACAAAACAAACAACCATTCACAATTAGAAAATTAAGTCTCGTTTAAATACTGGCCTCCCTTCAATAGTCGAGCCGTGTTGCTAGTTAAAACACGCAAAAATTTAACAAAAATAATATTAAGTAGCCAAGACGTAGCCAAATATTGTAGCGCCACATCACTAGCGGACATTTGAAATTTGCAGACTAGAACGGTCGGTTAACCGATGTGACGGTTAATCGGCGGTCGGAAAATCGATGCTCTACTGTATATGTAGGGTAAGAATGGATGTATAGGGAAAGAGGTATATATGTAGAGAAAGAGTAAATATGTAGGGAAAAAGTGGATGAGTAGGGAAAGAGTGAATGTGAAGGGAAGAGTGGATGTGTAGGGAAAGAGGTAGATATGTAGGGAAAGAGTAGATGTATAGGGAAAAAGCGGATGTATTGGAAAAGAGTGGATTCATAGAGAAGTGTACGAGATTTATTTTCCATTTTATCCTTAGTTTATTATTTAATAACAAAAACTATGGATTTTTTTCGATTTATTTAAGTTCTTTGACTTATTGACAAGATTTCCACGATTTTGTTAAGATATTTCTGTTTTTTTTTTTTTTAACAATCTTTTTTGGAACTAATTTATTTGTTGCTTATCTTCTATAAATTCGCATTTCTTTAATAAAATTCGTTTAAAATAAAAAAACTTTCTCAATACATTTTGTAAGATTAAGATCTTCAATACAGGTCTTTCATCTTAACGAAGNAGAGGTAGATATGTAGGAAAAGAGGTGGATATGTAGGGAAAGAGTGGATGTGTAGGGAAAGAATGGATGTGTAGGGAAAAAGGGTACATATGTAGGGAAAGAGTAGATGTGTAGGGAAAAAGCAAATGTATAGGAAAAGAGTGGATTTATAGAGAAGTGTACGAGATTTATTTTCCATTTTATCCTTAGTTTATTATTTAATAACAAAAAATATGGATTTTTTTCGATTTATTTAAGTTCTTTGATATAATGGCAAGATTTCCACGAATTTGTTAAGATAGTTCTGTTTTTTTAACAATCTTTTTTGGAACTAACTTATTTGTTGCCTATCTTCTATAAATTCGCATTTCTTGAATAAAATTCGTTTAAAATAAAAAAACTTTCTCAATACATTTTGTAAGATTAAGATCTTCAATACAGGTCTTTCATCTTAACGAAGAGAACTTCTCGTAAAAATGAATGTAGAAAACAGCAATTACTATAAATAACGAAGACATTTCAGGATAATTCCCGAATTTCTAGAGTAGGAAAAAAAAAAAAAGTGATTTGAAAGGAAGAATAAGATTAAATCTCTTTTAAAAAACGAAGAAATTCAATAATAATAAAGATATTTGAAGAGAAGAGAGAGACGATAAATCTGTAAATGTAATTCCAAATCTCCGGAGCAATCAAATTTTATATTTTAAACGAATATTTTCGGTTACTTTCAAAGAAATTTTGCGGTCGTCGGCGAATTACTACACAAAAGAAACTACAAAACAAATTTTTTCATCCATAAAATTAATAATTTGATCGAAAAATAGGGATGAATAAATGGGATGAAGCAAACCAACACGTGGACCATCTGCCTCTTGGGAGGACTTTTCTATAAGAATCTGGTCTCTATTTAGGTGTTATATACGTGAAGAAAACGGGTTACCCTCCTGTCTATGAGGTATGAACCCACGACAACAATGGTTTTATCTACTAGTCTTTTTGTGGATACGTTGATTGATTAGTTTGATTGATACTTCAATGCAATGTATGAACGATTTGACAAGGGAATACTATTCAGGAGTACTGTACTTTATACCAGTCGACCCCCCTATAACACTGTTGATAATTCCGTTTTATATGAATTCCATGTTGTACGAGTCACTTAGATTTTACAAATACGTGAGCCGTTCACAGCCCGGCACACGTATTTGTAAAATCTAAGTGACTCGTACAACATGGAATTCATATAAAACGGAATTATCAACAGTGTTATTAGGGGGTCGACTGTATTTAAGATTGGTCCCTATATATATGTAAAATGAATGTTGCAGTAGCGAATTATTTTTATTTTAATATTTATTTAAAGTCGAAACCTTTAAAAAATCGTTAATATTTAGAATGTGTTCGTGTGTGTTCTTTGCTTCGAATTTCTGGAAACCATTGATCGCGTGAGTAACGGAGATTCTCTAAAGATGTAATTTCAAACACGATTCCAATTTTCCATTAATGTCTTGCGTAACACTTTTATATGCTTTTTAAACAGAAGAAAGAAAAAATTTCCATTCAATCAAACAAATTGTAGTCTGCATAATCTTGGCATCTGCTACAAATAGGATTTTAATGCCAGAAATTCTTTCATTCTTATAAAATCAGGGATAAAAATCAAATTTACGTCATCCAAAATAGATAAAAAGTAATGATTCCTTTACAAGAATCATTATTAACTTCGTATATTTCGGAATTCTTATTATATTTGAGTGTGTTAACCGTTTATGACTTATACCGTGTCTTTACTTATAAAATTACGAAATTATGGATGGATTACAATTCTATTTAGAAAATCTCAGTAAAACATTGTAAGTTTTAATAATGAAATGTAATTTTTTAATTTATTTTAATTATTTTTGAATAAAATGGCCAAAATTACGTGCAAATGCCAAAATAATATTCTTGAGATAAATATTGAGGTAAATTGAAACCCAAAATTATAAATTATTTAAAAGTAAATTTATCAAAATAATATGATCAAACCTGTGAACAATGGCCACTGAAGAATCTCAAAAATTAGTCGTTGTTTGCAGGTTATTTCGTGTAAACTTTAAAAAGAAACACGTGTCTAAAAATTGACCATTGTTTAGAGGTGGTCGTTATTAGAGGTTTGACTGTATTTTACTTTGTCTGTGTAATTTTATAACAAAATTAATTAATTATTTATATGTTAGACAAGCGAAGAAAACCTGAAAAACTTCATGTGAAAGTCCACGTGATGAGTAATCGAACCCGCTACCTGTGATTAGTGAGGGAGGCGCATTACATTCGGTAAAAATGGATATAAAATGTAAATTATTCGCCTTAATTTAACGGATATTACTAAATTTCGATATAGGGATGGTGCAAGATGTCGTCATCGTAGTGTAATGTGTAGTGTCGCCATCTGTTGAGAGTAAAAATAATTACAACACTAAAATTTCCTTATGTACGAGGCTGATTTGACCCACATTGATTAAATATTTACGTATATATTATTATTCGAAACATTATTTTGACTATTTAAAGAATTACTGATGTTAAATATGTAAATTTTCTGACCGTGAATTACGTATAAATTAAAGCATTAAAGAGTAAAATAAATGCAGAAATTTCTTCGTAATTCCTCGAATTATGTTCAATTATTTAAAAAATAATATTGATAAAAATGGAATATTCCTGAATAATTTCTGAATAATAACCGTGTAAATATATTATGAATGAATTCGCATGTGATTTATTGATTTAAACACGCTTTTTACACTTCCAAAAGTTCGTGTGTGATGTTTCACTTTTACTGTATTTTGCATTATATCTCAGGAACCAGAGGGCCAAAACTTTCCAAATTTGGCAAGGATACTTCTGTATATGAGCTATTGATGCTGTTAAATTTTGGAGGCTATAAGTCGAGGGAGAGGGAAATACAGGGGGGTAGAATGTAGTAGCACGAATGGGGGATAAGCTTAACGAAAATTTTAGCGTTATTGGCATTTACAATTTTCTTTTTAAAAATTCTTCCCCGCCTCCAAAATAAGGCTTCTGCTTTTTTTATAATTAACTTTCGACTGAACTCCTAACAGATGGCGCCACGTGTAGTTTTAACTTTGAGCCATAATCTTAGTGTTTTCGTGTGTATTATTGGACTTTTAGACTTAAATATTATTTTTGAATAGAGTAATTTCTCATAATTCAACAAAATTATACGTTTTAAGTTTCCATTTTGTTGTAGTTTGCTGTATGGAGTAGGATGAATGAATTAAAAATTTATTACTTATTTTTCATAGAATTTTTAAGATTTTCTAAGATAATTGTAGAATCTGACGTCTAAATCTTTTGTCTAGTATACACTTTACGTCAAATTGACGTCATTATCACGCTTTCTCCTAAGTAAACTGCAAGAATGACGTCAAATTGGCGTAATAAACGTAGACTGTTATGATTTAGATCGCGTTTTCTTGCTCCATTCAAACGCTTGAATTGATGTTTAATCTTGCCTTTAGGATCCATTTAAGAGGGTGAATTTTTGCTACAAAGATCCTGCATTTACTTGATGTATAGTTGCACTCCTCGAGTACAAATGATTGTTCAGATACGTCACACTACCAACGTGGATCAATAAAATACGTAGGGAGTGACTCGCGAGTGTCATTTTTTTAATATTTAAAACAAAAAATATTTCAGTTTTTGGCTGGTGAATCCCTACAGCATCCAAATACTCTCTCATACAAGTACACTTCTCAACTGGGAGTTCGCGTACCCCAAACTACATATAAAATACACAGGGGGATGGAAAAGGTTGAGGAGAAATGATTTGTATAATATTTTTGCATCTGTGTGGCAGTAGATTTCTTGATATAAAGCAGATATGCATCTTCGATTTATATATATATGAGTCTATGAATATAGTTGAAATCTCACTCGTGTCCACACATTATAATTAATACCTCGATTGATCAAGCTTAACATTCGTGACTGGAATAGACTATAAGTCACGTTATTGTCACGCTCGATCTAATGAATCAGTTTTTACAATCCTCTACAACACACGGGACGTTGTAATTATATTACTTTACAACGTATTCGAACTGTAAATTTGAATGGAATTTTCTTTTAAAATTTTTAATTTAAATTCTTCAATTATTAAAAAAATTAATTAATTTTTTGATTTTTTTTCTTCAAATTTTAAGATATTTTGCAGTTAATTTTAAAAGTTACAGCCCCAGAATCCCTACAAGTGCTGGAGCAAGAAAAGAAATTGGAAGAAGAAGAAGCGAAGAATAATTTAAATTTTTTCATAATTCGAACTGAAAATTTGAATTTCTAAATTAAATTCTTCAGTTATTTAGAATATAAACAATTTATTTTAAATTTTCTTTACTTTTTAATATATTTTGCAGTTAATTTTGAAGGTTAGAGCCACCAGAATCTATGAAATAGCATCGTGAAGAGCTGGAGTGAGAGGATAAAATTGGGAGGAGCAAAGAATAGTTTAAATTTTTTCATAATATTCGAATAATTCTTTTTAATTTTTCGATTTTTATAAAATGCATCATCCGGATGAGGAAACAAATGATGATGAGAAGGAGAGATTTGTGGATTCTTTGGAGTCTTCTTCGATAGGTTCGTTAGATTTGGACATGGAAAAAATCGATTTTAACGATTCGCAAGTGGTTCCTATCAATACAGAGCCGATCATAGTAGAAGAGGCATTGATCAGGGAGCATGATAATAAGGATAGTTGCAAAATAATCGAAGAAGAAGCTCTTAGTGTACAGGATGAACGTCACAATATGGATCCTTGTACGAACGAGCAAACTAAAGTGCAGAAAAATAGCAGAAATTTCGGCACAAACACTACACCTAACCTCTTAAGATGCACTGAAGATGATGATAAGATATCATCTGAAAGAATTAAAAACATAAAGTTTGCCTACGTGGAAGGAAGTGAGGAATTTCAATACGATAATTACAAATTTGTGCACATTCAAGTTAACCCAAATTCCGACATTAAAGTAATTTTATGTAAAGAATCGGATAAAGATAAGGAAGAAAACAAAGTAAAATCCTTATCTAATTCTGAGAAAATGGCTCCGAAAATAGGGGATGATGTGAAGAAGCACCCCTCTCGTCTCGAGGAATTTACAAAGATACCAAAGATAATTCCAAATTTTATAAATTTAAATAAATACCAAGGGTTTAATTTTACGAAAAACAAGATCTATACACAAATTGATAAGAATAAAAAGAGAAAAGATAAAGAGGAGGAGGATAACTCAAACAAGTATTACGCTGTGAAAGAGGAAAGACTTGTCCCAATCGATGGAAAAAGTAATTATTCTAAGTTAAAGAAATGGAAGTGTAAAACCTTTCCTGAAAGCTCCACGTGCCGAAATTTAGAGCAAACAGGTTCAATTTGGAAGCAGAAAGAAGCACACTGCTGTAATTCTAGAAGACCTTACACAAGTGAAAATGCTGAATATCGACATTCATGCTACGAAGATAAGTCATTCTCTCTTATGAGAGACGACTGCTGGATTGAAAGGTAATTAATTTTCAAGCCTTAAACTCGAAATTAATTTAAGTTTATTAATAACAGAACTTGTAACAATAGATCAAAGTATCTTCAGTGTTTAAAAAATCCTGCAGAGAGCAAATACTCCAGGAAACCCCCCGTAAAAATTAGAAATATTCAAGAATCTATTGACTTAAATTGCTGTGATGAGAATTCAGTTAATGGAGTAAAATATGGATCGTTAATTCAGCGAAAAAGCTCTCATTTTTACGAAAATAATTCAAACCTTTTTCCTGTCGGAGCAGGAAAGGAAAAGCATCTTGTTGAATTAGGTTCTCCTGGTTTTCTTCCCGAAAAAAATCATAAAAATTCCCTAGAAAAAGAATTAATTCGTGAAAATTTCCTAGAAAACAAAGAAAAGAAGTCATCTAAGTGTTACACAAATGGATACAAGTGTTATAAAAAATTACCAAAAATTTCTAACTTTAGAGAAGCAGCAAAATGTGCAGAAGAAAGCAAAGAGCAAAAGGTACAAGCGATTTTAAAACATATTTTTGTTTATTAATATTTAATAATTACTAAAAATAAAATAGATTTTAACTTTAAAAAATATAAATTAATTCATTTTAAACGAAAAATAATATGAAAATGACTTATAGAGAAGGCGTATAATAATAATAGGTACTGTACAGTACATTACATACGCCATCCATTTGACTTATTTTTAGAGCAATTTACTTATAAAAATCTTGAATAATTATAATTATAAAAAGTAGAATCAATAAAATTTACATTTTATATATTAAAATTATCATTTATTTTTTTACTATTTTAACGTTTGGATATTTTTATACTTCTCCTCTTCTTCTTCTTGCTATGAGGGGAAAACACCTTTACAGTCGTCAGAAACTAGTTTTAAATTCATTTTTTTTGATATCATACAGCAAATTAAAATACATATTTAATAACATTATTATAACTTTGTGTGAAATATTCATAGTTGGAAAGATTTCTTGTTTTTATATACGTGAAATACAGAAAGTAAAATTTACCTGAATTATTAATTAAATTCAGGCAAAACTCTAGGTAAAATTTTAGGAAAATATAGTTTTCTCGTTGTAAAATATTTAAATTTAAATAATTTCTGACCTATATTCGGTTATAAATATCAATCATTCATTATAAAATAGCACAGAATGATAGAAAAACAAAGTAATAATAAATAAATACTGTTGGCACGACTCGCATGTTTTACTCTTTAAATACTTTTATCCTTGGAAATTTTAATCACGATAAGAGACTTAATTATATTTAAAATGATATTTATCTCGTTTTGTATACTTAATTATAATTACAGCTTTAACATTCCACTTTTGTATCGCAATAATCAACAAAGCATTTACTTTATTAAATCTGTTGTTTTTAATTATTATTGCAATTTAAATGTCTAATTATTTAATTTTAATTATAATTATTGTCATCTTTTTTTCAGAAACAATTTTATAAATTAAGAAAGGATTACGGAAAACGAGTCAACGAAATAAATTGTTGCAAATATCCAAAATGAACGAACGAAAAAAAAAATTAACTCATAAATGACGTCACGTAACCAGACGTCATTTATGAGCTTCCGGCGCTGTTTATGTCATCAGCAATTTTTTAACCAATCAAAGAAACTGTATTTTCTTAATTTTTGTTTTTTTAATAATAATTTACGAATGATTAGAGTATTATTTATATTTTTAAATTTTTCTAATAATAATTAACCGTTTAATTGNTTTTTAAACTATTTACTAAAGTAATTTTAATTATTTTAACAATTTTTAACATAATTTTAATGCTCTAACTGGGTTGAATTATACAGGCGGTTGGAAAGTAACTAGGCATTGAGAAATCGCGACAATTCTTTTAATAATAAAGCAATCGTAATAAAATATATAAAGTCATGTACAATAATTAATGGCATTTTATAATTCCTATACTATAGGGTGAGCTCTAACAGAGAGATGCTTCACGCTCACTGGAAAAAAGATAGCCGCTTGTGTGTTGAGAAGCGAGCGCGATTGCAGCACGCTGAGGGATGGAAATCAGTGGTTGTTGCTGTGTTAAGATGGTGGCGAATTGTAAAGAGAGTTTATGCCACATTAAAAATTGCCATTCAAAATTAAAATGACCACAGGTTCAATTGCTGACTCACAGATAAGTGGCCATCCATTTACATTACCATCTGAGAAAAACGTATTTTTAGCGAATAGTGCCATGTCTAAAGTAATATTAAGGTACGCATTTCTATTCCAATCTAAATAGATACAAACCTAATAATTTTCATAGTATTTTCCTTATAAGTAAAGAAATTATAGAAATTTATCAATACCTAGTTATTTTACGCCCATTCTGTATAAAAAAATGCCTTAAATGATCCCTAGGACTCTAGTACAGTTAGGAGTTGTACAAACATTTAGGGGTATTTTAAGCTATTTTTTTCCCTATAATTCCCTAATAATTGTATATTTTTAAAGGGTTTCTCTAATATTTCTTCTACTTTCTTGCAAAAAATTTCCTTAATAATTTGAATATATATATATATATATTTTTTTTGTTTAATTATTTTTTTTTATTTTTGTATATTTTAAAAATCGCGTTGTCTATGCTCCTGCTCTGTTACATAGAAATAGGAAGGTACAAATCGACTGTACATAATTATATATACATAATAATAAATTATCAGCTAATTTACTGAACGTGTTGACCTTTCTGGAGTCTCGGCTTGGCTGTCTGTCCGTACTTCCTTAACAAATCTGCTTTAAACTGTACGAATTTCTTCCGGTTAACAAAGTTCTGTTTGTCCCTCCACGCGCCTCTCGATCTCCTGTTTTGTATTCCTCTATGTACCGCAAAGACGGGGTTAAGTACCCAAAATTCGTAACCCGCCACGTGCATTTCGAATACCTAAAAATTTAAAAAAAAAAAAGGTATAAAATAAATTATATTTTGGCATCGAATAACAGTCAAACCTCGATATAGCGCCACCCAGATTGGCTTCTAAATCGAGTGTGGCGTTAAAACGAAGAGTCTCGAAAGAAGGAAAATTATTTATATTATTGGGGGTGGCGAAAGTTCAGTGAAGCTTTCCCCCCGAAGTTGAAGGATAATAATTATTTTTATCCTTCAACTAAGGGGGGACGGCATCACTTAATATATTATTTGGGAATCCAAGCGGGTATAGTTAGGGGCAGGGTGATTACAATGCCATTTGTAATGGAAAAATCTCATATTTGATAATCAGAGATAACGAAGGATAGAGGTCTGTTCACGTGCATCGATTGGAGCTGTATAGGAGGACGTTATATCGAGGTTTGGCCCGAAATCGAAGGATACAAGTAATTTTTAATTTTTCAACTTTTTGGGTCCATGGTGCCCAAACAACGCCCTTTGCAATGCAAACTACCACATTTGGTAATCAGAGATAACAAAAGACTGAGTTGGTCTTCATTCACGGCACTGTATGAGGGGTGGCGCTATACGAGGGCGTTATATCGAGTTTCGACCGTATTAAAAATAGAAAAAAAAAAGAAATTTACCTGAGTGTTTCTTGTAAACCCGTATCCAACGAATCTCTCATCATTAGGTGGCACTTCATTATCTGCAACGTAGAATGGCTCGTAAAAAAATTCATAATTATTAACTTTATAGGCAGCTGTTAAGGTTGCTGTTTCCGGCAAACTTTCCCATAAACTATGATTTGTGGCAAATTGATTATATATAAAGACTTTATAATGGAAGGGCCTACACTCCTTCCTCCTCACCATAGACAATAGTTCATTTTTATTGGTAGGCATGCGTGACGTTTCCCTCATTTCGTAAGTGGGTACGACGAAGGCACATTTGGCACACGTTGTCTTGTTTAGATTCCTCAGGAATTCGTCAAGATCCTCTGAAAGACCAGGAACCGGAACAATGTCCACGTCGGTTAGGTAGTGGTAATTGGTCTCGCATCCGTTTCTGGCCAGGTTCCTCAGGTGATTTTGGGGATAGAGGACCTTGTTGCGCCAGGACTGGAACGAAGTATCGCGAGAATTCAGCAACTTGATCAGCAACTCCCTGGATCTCGAACAGGAGAGTAAAACCAATTCTAGCATTTTGGGTACCTCTTTGGGTGGTGACTCTTTAGGGTACAACAGGTGAAAACTGGCATTAACGCGTAGTGTGTCCGAACATAACCTCAGATAGGATATATACAGCGTGGCAATCTGGAAATCGGGACCTGGCACAAAGAGTGCCACCGACATGGGGGCACTCCACGCTTCACCAACCTCTAGCAGCATGAAGAGCCTGTCGACGGAGCATTGAGTGGCCAAACATATTTTACTAGTTCTGGCCGTAATCGGCCACTCGTCACCCATGACCACAAAGTCTTGTTGGATGTAGTTACCACTCTTGTCCACCTTCTTGTACTTCTTGTCCATCACCAGGGTGGTGTAGTTAATGACGTCTCTGAGTTGCATAGTGCGGGTAGGCTCTGGTTTCTTTGTTAATTTATCGGCTAGTGGTCGCCGTTTGTCCAGCCTCGTTGGTATTTCACTTTCTGTCTGGCGGTGTCTTTGTATGACGAACAAACCCAAGAGGTTGAAAGTGGTGAGGACTGCTATAACTGTATACACTAGCAACGTGCTAGATCGATTAGCTGTACGACACCAGCGACAAGTCATTGGACGGCAGAATTTGGAACTGTAAGAGGACACAAATTAATTTTTTCATACTCTTATCTACTTATAGTAGTGTCGGAAGGCCGATTTTCTAGTGTACGCCACGTGAGAAACAGAGAGTCTTCGTATAACCCTGCACTACAATAACGTGAACTTTGCTAGAAATTCGGACTTCCAACGTTTCTTACACTATAAAAATATATACAGTTAAAACCTGTGTAAACCGGAATCGTATCGTATCGAATTTCTTTCCTGTTTACGCAGGTTCTGTTGTAATACACAGTTTAGGTGTTCAATACACAGGTTCATGTATAACATAAAGTGATGGCAAATTTTACTAGAAATTCGAACTTTTAGCATTACAAACACTATAAAAATATACAGTAAAACCTGTGTAAACCGGATTCGCACCGTATCGAATTTTTTCTTGTTTAGATATATTTCCGTTTATGACAGGTTTTACTGTGTAAAAAAACGTATTACACACCAAACAGCGCAATTTTCCAGCACCTTAATTAAAACCTGTGTAAACCGAAATAGTACCGTATCGGATTTTTCCCGTTTAGGCAGGTTGCCGTCTTATTCGAGTTCCGTTTCGGACAGGTTTTCGCGTGGAGATTTGTACGTATCTAAATCCTGACACACTAAACAGTGTGCGTGACAGACACTCCTCACTGTCGCCAAAATCGATTTTTATACAGATTTTTAATGCCTGCCCCGAATTTCCGATGTATAATAATAGAAACGGCAGCATCAATACTATAAATATTTAAAAATAATACGAAAAATGGAGGATTTAGCGAAGATTTAACTTTTACACTGTTCAATTCTGATCGAATTCTTAAATATTTTATTATACAAACGTGTATTCCGTTAAAAGAATTAATATTAAATTAAGTTAATAAACAATAATACATAATAAATTATTCAAAAATTTGTTTACCTGTCTGACCTGTCTAAAACGGATACCGTACAAAACGGCAACATGCTTAAACTGAATGTAAAACTTCGTTGCAAGCACGAACCTGTCTATAACGGATATTTTAGTCATAAATTGCGTAACATAACCTGCGTAAAGCGGACTTTTTGGCGTAACATCAACAAATTTTAAGTCGTTAAAAAAGTATTGTACGTTTCAAGAGTTTTACGTAGTTTTATCATTCTCTGTGCTCTAAATATACAACCTGTCTTAAACGGTTCTAAATATGAACTGTAGCAGGTTATACTGTACTTTAAATCAATTATAAATAACTGATATATATATATATATAATGTAATAAGCTGAATTATTTCAGAGTTTTGTTTTGAGTCATTAAACATTTAAATACATTAAAACCTGTTTATAACGGAACGAAACAGTACAAGCAAGAATTTTTCCCGTTTTCTTCAGGTTTTCGATTTATAGAGGGTGATGTCTCTTATTCATACAAAAAATTTTGTTTATAAAGTTTTTAGAGCTGTTTAAGACAGGTTGAAAGACTGGTATATGTAACCCACAAGCAAAAAAAACCTGTATAATACACTATTTAATTGTACTTTAATTATGATTTAGAATTCATCTTCTATATTAAAAAAATCTGCAGTACTCAGGTTAGGGTCAAGTCTGTTTCCGCGTTATATAGGTTTCCAGTTTAAACTAATATTTTATACAGTAAAACCTGTAAAAACGGAACCTGAATAAAACGGAAACCTGCCTGAACGGAAATAGTTCTCCGAAATGGACCGATTTCAAAGGTTAAAGAAAAACCTGTTCAAAACGGAAACCTGCCAAAGCGAAAAAATATTCGGTACTATTCAATTCTGTTTAACACAGGTTTGCCGTATTTTTTAATAATATTATTTCAATCTGAGATTTATTTTCTTTTTTATAGAGTGTCCGTCTTAGACAGGTTTACTCCTTATATACATATAAATTATTTTAAAAATAGTAAATAATATCATAACTCAATTTTAAAAAATTTAAAAAATTGTAATTATTTTTTAATTTTATAAAATATTAAAACTATTTTAAAAAATTGTAATTTATAATTTAAATTTATGATTAATTCGTTGTTTAAATCCACTCAAATTAGTGATAAATTCTCATTTTCGTAAGGACTTAGCGCTAATTCTCCATTAAAACCGCTTCATTTTTAAAAATAAAGTTTAATTTTAATACAGTAAAACCTGTCCAAAACGGACACGAATAAAAAATAAACCTGCCTAAATGGAAAAATTTCTTCAGAACAGAGCGATATTCTAATGTTAAAGGGGAAAAAAAACCTGTCAAACCTGTTCAAAACAAAAGCATGCCAAATCGGAACCGTGCGATTCCGGTTTACACAGGTTTTACTCTACATCAAAAATGATTTTTATATGTTTTAATTAATATACAAAAAGAAAACTTTATTAGAAACCGCATCTAAATCAATTGAAGCACCACAATTCGCCTTAATTCGCTTGGCCTGACACGTGTGTCTGTCTTTAACCGTAGAAAAATATAATTTAAAAAAAAAATACATATTTATGGACATTTTTTAAAGTCATTTATCAAGAATAGGAAATAAATTTGGAAATAAATAAATATATTTTTTATTTTTTAGTAAATTTTTCTATCCAAACTAAAATAATGAAGACAAGCATGTGGCTTGTAGACTTCAATCAAAAGACTGGAGCATGCTTAGAATTAAATAAGAAAATTGGAAGAAGCTATGAGCAAATAGAAGTCTAGAAGTCTATGGATTGAAATAAAAAATCTAGCACTGCTGTGGACTTAAATGAGGAATCTAGAACTGCTGTGGACTTAAATGAGGAATCTAGAACTGCTGTGGACTTAAATGGGGAATCTAGAGCATACTGCGGACTTAAAATCTAGAACTGCTGTGGACTTAAATGAGGAATCTAGAACTGCTGTGGACTTAAATGAGGAATCTAGAACTGCTGTGGACTTAAATGAGGAA